GTAAAGGTCTACAAAGCGAAAGTATGTTTCGAAGTCTATTAAACAAAAAGTAGAATTGCTGCAAAAAATGGATAAAGGCATATCTTTTGTTTATCTTTAACGCCGCGGCGGGCGCCCCGCAGTGAATTGGAAGTTGATCTGTCAGCACTATCCTTATCTTCAGGGTAAATGTTTTTATTTTATTTGGCTTATAATTCCTTACTAAATGTAGTATTTCATCTCGATGTACTCAGTCTTTGATATGATTTAAATCAAATTCCTCGTCATTATAATTCGCTTCCGATAGCGAAGAAAGTGACAGAGGTTGTTGAAAACGAAAAAATTTCGATTGGCAAATTAGTCGGTATTCTCGACACAGCAATTATAGGACTTGAACAGCGGAACTTTGTAACTGAACAAGAAATTGTCTTTTTATAGAATTAAAGAGAATGTATTATCACATAAAAAAACGAAGCAACTTAAACAATTTACATTGAAAGAAATGTTTAATAAAGTAAACAAATAAATATTAAGCTTTTTTTTTGTAAATTTTGATACCCTTTAGATCATAATTGTTCTTTATTTCATAAATTACGGTTCATATTTTTAATTTTATAATTTCTGCATGCCATCTTATCAGATTTAAACTGATGATCTATTATCCGGAATCGCCGAAGTCCCGACGAGTCCGAATTAACGACTTTTGACTGTATTTGTATTGAGCTAGAAGAAGTTCGTCAAGCAACACACCAGAAAATATTACAAGCTAAAGCTTTGTGTTCATTTGATCTCTTATTGCTGGATGCAGTGTTTTATTGAAATGAAGAACCTTTATTTTAACTTCTTCTGTCTGTAATCCTCACTAGAATGCAAATTAGTTATTCAGTATTTAAGCCTAAGGTTTGAATGTAAGAACATCTGGCAGCCTTGCTTTGCAGGTATGTACTATTGCTAGCTGTACAGAGTTTTACTTCGTTTCGCACTAAGTTTACCATTTTGCTAGCCGATGTTTAAATACACACTATTAATTACTTGAGCTAGCTTAAGTGTTCTGCTGTGTGTGTAAACTCAGACTCTGTTACCTAAATTAACTTCATCTTATGTAATTTTAAATGCTGCAACTAATGGAGGTTAATTTGTAGCCAAGTAGTGTCCTCTGTTAATTTAAAGAGTTGAATAAGTAAGTGATTTTTAACCTTTCTAAGACCTCATCATCTGAATTCAGGCTGAAGCAGTAATTTGCTTGTCAGTCTACTAGGGTCTGAAGATCACCATGCTAAACTTCAATAGATGTAGTGCCCTACTGTAAAAGTGAAGGATTTATATTTGGAATAATAGCGACCAAGAAAGCATCAATTAAAATCTTTGACCAGAATAGAAATCATTATTAGTGGAGGAGTTCATTCTTCCTGCAATCCCCAAAATTTCAAGATGCTCAATCTGTGGTGAAATAAATGATCTCTGTCTAGGATTACTAAGGAATTATTATGAAAGATAGTTTCATGTAGAAAAAGTGTTAAGTGCAGCATATTACCGAGAGTCATTGCGAAAATTGTGACAAAATTGCATAAAAAGGATGGGGATTTAATTTGGAAAGATACCTGTAAGTGAGAAAGTTATGATAGATCTTCTAACTAAATATGAGCAGGAAGGTTTACATTACCAACCATAAAATCCTCGGATTTCAAATTCTTTCCCAAACTGAAAGAGCTCCTGCTTGGAATCGCTTTTTCTGTTTGAAAGTGTAGTTACCCAAGCCATTCAAGGACTAAATAAGTGCAATGAAGTACATATGACAAGACATTGTAACATGATTTTATGACGTAAAATGTAAAACTGATTACATAGGAGGAATGTAAATAGAAACTGATGGAATTAACTTGCAAGAAAAATAAGCCATAAATTGAGGACAACTTATAATGCTTGAGGAGAAGGATGTAACAGATAGCGTGAGTCATTTCTCAAACGGAGCACCAGCTCTAGGTGATGTGATATGAGACTCACCCAAAATATTTCTTTTTTTCTTTTTACAGGTGAGGTGACACACCGAAGCTTTGTTAGGATTTGAAATTCTTCACTAGTTAGGACTTGAAACTCATTGAGTGAGCAATGTAGCTACAAATCTCTCACTTTTATTCTTTTGTGTGTGTTACTTTAGTAATAAATTGGCATTTATCATACTTCATTGTCTTAATTATTAGCCCAAAGAATGTTTCAGTGATATCGAAGAAAATATTGTAATAGCATTTTTTAAAAGTACCTTTGTATTTGTGGTACTTTATGCTATTTTGATGGCCATTATCTGCTCTAAAAATAGTATGGCAGTGATAGTAATGGGCAGAAGTGGAATTTGCAATTTTATTTGTTAGTCTGGCGGTAAGCAAGCGGCCAGTAGTTTGAAATCAATTAAATGATTATATACATAAAATTAAACTATTATCTGTTGCAAGCAAATTGCATTTAAGTGACCAAAAGGGCACAGTAACTTGAGAGCTACAATTTGGCAATGTCTGCTATATACAAAAGTGAGAGAGAATGTTTTTAGTTCGAAAATTCAGTAGTGAGTTTTCAGTGAATCAGTGCGAATTAGGGTTTTCATGACATATTTTTACTATTTTTGCAATGATGTCTGTCAGTGTGTATTATGTGCAGTTTTTTTTTTTTTCTCCCATGACAGTTCCTATATCAGACTTCCAAAAATTTCTGTTTTCTGTATTTAAGCATTCCAAATTCATAAAGTTGATTAAATTTTGAATAAAACTGGGCAATTGGAGCTGGTACTTGAAGTCCATAGCAGTTATCCCCAAAAATCAACATAAGTGTTGTATATATAAACTGTTACATATTGTTGCTGTTCAGCAAGCATTGTTTGCCGATACCTAAATATCATGAAGATACATGAATGAAATCAGAATGAATTTAGTTTTTTTAATGTTATAAAAATAACATAGAAGAATTATGGTATTTAAAGTTTTTATTTTAATATAAACATTTAATTTTCTTTAATTAAGTACGAGTTCTGTTATTTAACTTAAAATGTAATTTTTAATGAAAGAGTAAAGGGGCAAACACTTGATTATGTTAGTATAAATTTAGGGAAAAAAATGCTTTTTACACATGGCCAATTATGCCTACTAAAATATAATTCGAAATTTTATTTTAAGACCTTTATATATATTGGAACAGTAAATTAGATTTTGTTTGTTAACAGTCACCAGGGAGTGATATTTTACTCATTCGTATTTTAAACATAAAATTTACAGGTCATGTGTTGGCTGCATCAGATTTTCACACCTTAACCTTCTAAACCAAATTTATTAAACTTTTGCATGCGGTTTGTTTTAGAATGCTTGTGAAAAATTGAATCTTCATATAAAAATCAAAATATGCCTTTTTTTTTTTTTTTGTTGTTGTTGTTGTTGTTGTTGTTAACTGTTTAAAAATATCTGACCCCTGAAGTATTCTTCTAACTTCTAAATACTGCAAGATCTCTTTTGTATTCTTATAGTTATTGTATTGCAGAATAATTTTGCATTTTGTTACCTAAATGCTATTATTATTTAGGCATTAAGTGGGTGTTTGTGTATTTATCTAGCCATATTTTGCTTTAAAGTTTTTTTAGGATATTAAGATTTGCTGATATGATAACAAATATTATTTCACTATTCATACTGCATTTAAAGAAATTAGATTTAAAACTGAAAGACGTATTGAAATTCATGCTTGGCAATTTTTTTACTTAAAGTTTATAATTTTAGTGTTTCATTATTTATATTTATAAAGAATTTAATAATTATTTAGTACTTTTTTGAAACTTTATTTTACATAAATAGTGTGTCTACCAATTTGCACTGTGACAAACATGCATCAGTACTATAATTTAATCAGTTTGGATTTATAAATGTTTGTATTTTATTAAGATATTGCTGAATATTTGTACTAATTTAGTACAGTAATCTCTATGAAAATTTTGAATATTATAATTAAAGCTTTTAATGCTAGATATCCAACGCACAGCCTGCACTGTAAAATTTTATAGCCCACAGCAAAATTGATGAAATTTTTAAAAATGTTCCACAAATAGTTGCAAGTGCTTTTGAACTAATTTACATGTGCAAATCACTTTTTTCGAAAATGAAACTAATGAAACATAAATCATGAACAACCTTAGCAGACAAAAAAACCTGCAACATCAATTATGATGTGAAAATACAAGTACTGAAATCAACTTGAAAAAAAAAAATAAGCGAGGAATAGAGAAATAAATATTGCACTGATTATAGTTAAATATAGTAATATATGATTGTTTTATTGATTATTTTAGTATAATTATTTATGTATAGTCATAAATGTTTAACTGTTCTGTGGATAATTCATGAATAATAACTACAATAATAATATATTCTGATTTAAATTTTCACTTAAAAAAATTTATATATGCATTCTTAACCCACAAAGTCTTTTGGGTTGGACAGGCATGTTTTAATGTTTGATCAAATAATTTCACAAGAGCATTTTTAAATAATATTTCATTAAATTTAGAGGAAACTAAGGGAATTTCTGTTTTGAAATATGGTAATATAGAAAGATATGTCATGAAATATACTCATAAGCATTCAAATAATATTAGATTTGCTGTAACTTTCTCATCATTGTCTTGCTGAATTTAATATGAAGGAAGGCATTATCTATAAATGTTGAAATTTTTTTTTCTAAAGTTTTAGCTGTAAAGTCTGTTTCAATTAATATGCTATTACTGAAGTTAAATTTTTCCTGCACTTTCCTTGTTTTACTAGAAAATGAAATTTTTTTCAGTTTAAATGAGAAGCAAAAATCTAAGATGGGAGGTCTTTATCAGCTAAGTCCAAAGTATAAAGATTTTGTTTTTTTTCTGATGAGTGCTGACTGTTAGTGGACTAACTTTTCACTAACAGTTAGTTCCATGAGAAGGTGTATTAGAGTAGGCTCTTAGTCTTTGTTTTGTTTTGTAAATATTGAGATACTTTTGTATTATTTTTTAGGCCTGTGGAGCCATAGTAACTTCAAGCTAAGGTACCAATAAATGTTTATTATTATCAGTTTGTATTATAGGATTGTAAGTTAAGATGACAAAAACTCCTCTTAAAGTCTAGTAAGGTTATCAGACTAAATGTAGCTAGAGCATAACCTTATAGAACAAATACCAATTGATATATCTATATACATATAATTGACAAACAGTAAAAGATAAGTGAAAGTTCTAATCATTTTGCTTGTTACTTGATGATTTATCGGTAAGCTAACATAAAATATGTAATATTATATTTTGGAATCATTACACCATTTTATAAATATGTTGCAGTTTTAAAATTTGCTATGAAATTATCATAAAATAAAAATTAATTATTTTTAACAAAATGATCGTTTGATTATGACTTAGCATATTAAAAGTTTTGCCAGAATAAATCATACTTTTTCATTTAAGTCTGTGATCATGCACATTTTTTACTCTTATTTATGTCACTCATATTATGCTCATTTATTATAGTAAACATGGCATTACAAAGACCAGTGGAAAAAACCCAAAATTATAGAAGAATTTTAAATACACTTTCATTTTCCTATGCTTTGATTATAAACATTCTTTTTCTTTAGGCTTCAAAAGATCTCATAATCAATAAAATGTATTGTTACGTGTTTTCTGACATTTTGTTATGCAATGCTTTTGAATCATGATTTTCTTAAGGTATATTAGTTTATTATGAATAACAGACATGAAATATTTATGAAAAGCAAATTTTGAGAAACTGCTACTAATGTAATACAGTCAAAAGTCTTTAATCCGGACTCGTCTGGACTTCGGCGATTCCGAATTATTGATTTTTCCGAATTATAGATCATCAGTTTAAATCTGGTAAGATGGCATGCAGAAATTATAAAATTAAAAATATGAAACCGTAATTTATGAAAAAAAGAGCAATTATGATCTAAAGGGTATCAAAATTTACAAAAAAAGAAAAGCTTAATATTTATTTGTTTACTTTATTAAAACATTTCTTTCAATGTAAGTTGTTTAAGTTGCTTCGTTTTATGTGATAATACTTTCTCTTTAATTCTATAAACAAACATAATTTCTTATTCAGTTACAAAGTTCCACTGTTCAAGTCATATAATTGCTGTGTTGAGAATACCGACTAATTTGTCAATCGACATTTTTCATTTTCAATAACCTCTGTGTCACTTTGTTCACTATCGGAAGCGAATTATAATGACGAGGAATTTGATTTAAATCATATCAAAGACGGAGTACATCGAGATGAAATACTACATTCAGTAAGGAATTTATAAGCCAAAGAAAATAAAAACATCTGCCCTGAAGATAAGAATATTGCTGACAGATCAACTTTCACTTCATTGCGCGCCGCGATGTTCCCCCCTTCCCCCGCAGAGCAGCGTGAAATTGATGACAGATTTTGGAATGGTTAAGAAACAAAGTATATGCCTTTGTCCATTTTTTGCAGCAATTCCACTTCTTGTTTGATGGACATCGAAACATGCTTTCGCTTTGTAAATCCTTTGGCAGCTCCAGAATCGGAAATTCTTTTTGACATAATCAAAAGTTCAAGCTTACTTTTATAAAATTGTTCTAACAGTCTGCAAAAAATAATAAGCCGGATCCAAAAGATTTTTAACAGATTGATAGCAGATTTTGGACATCGAAACATGCTTTTGTTTTGTAAATCCTTTGGCAGCTCCAGAATCGGAAATTCTTTTTGACATAATCGAAAGTTCAAGCTTACTTTTATAAAGTTGCTCTAACAGTCTGCAAAAAATAATAAGCCAGATCCAACAGATTTTTAACAGATTGATAAACAGATTTTGGAATGGTTAAGAAGCAAAGTATATGCCTTTATCTATTTTTTGTAGCAATTCCACTTTTTGTTTGATGGACATTGAAACATGCTTTCGTTTTGTAAATCCTTTGGCAGCTCCAGAATCGGAAATTCTTTATGACATAATCGAAAGTTCAAGCTTACTTTTATAAAATTGCTCTAACAGTCTGCAAAAAATAATAAGCCGGATCCAATTCGAAGATTAAGGAACAACACAATCTGCAACATTAAATGAAATAGATAATTAGATCATTTTAGCTTAGCTTATACCGTCTATTATACATTAAACGCGCATGCATAAACGTATTATGCACATGCGTGAACACATTATGCGTTGATGCATGTGCAGAACGATTGTAGCTTTGAGGTCTGCATTATAGATCATTCCGAATTATGGGTGTTCAGATTAACGACTTTTGACTGTAGAAGAACGCAGCAAAGAGCTAGCTGATATAGAAACTAATAAGTAATAGTAATTGTTTTAACATGAGTAAACGTGTGTTACTTAAGTTTTGAAGGTTAAACAGAATCCTTAGCTGAAATGATGAAAATAAAACTTGAACACCTTTGAGAGGTTTAAAGCACAGATGGGGCAACTCCATACAGAATCTTGACAAAAAGACATATTTGTCAAAAATTTAATAAAGAAAATGAGAATATTAAACATTTTTTACCTTATTTGTTATAATTATATCAACGTTGCTTGTTATGCAGCAATGACATAAAACTTAACAGTATTCATAAAGAAAAGTGCAATATTGCTTAATTTATGTTCTGAATATTTTGGTCATTGTTGTATAGTCAAGAGTCTTTAATCCGGAATGATCTATAATCTGGACCTCAAAGCTACAAATTTTCTGCTATGCATGCGCGTAATAGCTTTACGCATGCGCATAATACGTTTACGCATGCGCGTTTAATGTATATTGGACGGTATAAGCTAAGCTAATTCTATTTCAGTTAATGTTGCAGATTGCGTTGTTCCTTAATCTTCGAATTGGATCTGGCTTATTATTTTTTGCAGACTGTTAGAGCAATTTTATAAAAGTAAGCTTAAACTTTCGATTATGTTAAATAGAATTTCCGATTCTGGAGCTGCCAAAGGATCTACAAAGCGAAAGCATGTTTCCATGTCCATTAAACAAAAAGTGGAATTGCTGCAAAAAATGGATAAAGGCATGAAGAAAGTGACAGAGAGGTGATTTGTTTCTCTAAACTTTCCAAAATCTGTTTATCTATTTTCCGCTGCTCTGCCAGGGGGGGGGGCATCGCGGCGCCCAATGAACTGCAAATTGATTCGTCAGCACTATCCTTATCTTCAGGGCAGATGTTTTTATTTTATTCAGCTTATAATTCCTTACTAAATGTAGTGTTTCATCTCGATGTATTCCAATATGATTTAAATCAATTTCCTCGTCATTATATATATCATGAATATGCATAAAATAGTTTTCTGGTTGCAATTTTCTAATTTCGACTATGTGTAATGTATGCTTTACGCATGCGTGTGTTGAAAGAAATGTTTAATAAAGTAAACAAATAAATATTAAGCTTTTTTTTGTAAATTTTGTTACTCTTTAGATCACAATTGCTCTTTATTTCATAAATTATGATTTCATATTTTTAATAGTATAATTTCTGCATGGCATCTTACCAGATTTAAACTGATGATCTATAATCCGGAAGCGCCGAAGTCCTGACAAGTCCGGATTAAAGACTTTTGACTGTAGTATAGTGTAATTAACATTCATACAGTTTGAATTAAGCCGAAATATGTTCATCAATTGTCTTATGAGCTATTTAATCATGTTAAGAAAAATGAGAACAAATAAGAAAATTTCAAGTGTGGTACAAATGTGGATAATGTATAAGAAGATAAAGTACATGCTTTATGTTAAACTTTTACTAGACTTTCAAATTTGTTTATAACTTGTATTGTATGAAGCTACCTTTTTATTATCACCTACTGTAGTGGTAATGAAAAGGCAGCTTATGGAAGTCCACCTCATACAGTTTTATTATATTATTTTTTTTTTTTAACTTAATGTCTAATGTTGCTTTCAAATTCCATCCAGCTTGCAGATAACGTAAGCAGTTCTCATCATTTGTTTTCTATTTATTGAACTGTTGAGCATTTTATTTGTTGACAGAAATTTTCTTTTGCGCATACCTGTACAAAAAGGGAAACATTAGTTTTTGTATTCCCTTGTAATTATAGTTTGAAGTTTCTCATATTTTCATTTCGTCATTTCAACAGCAAAATGCAAAAAACCTGGATGAAAAGTTATATTCTTAGTTATGCAAGAAATTGTCTAGTATATGCATTGTCATATCTAATTTTTAATTTCAATTAATTTCCATTGGTAATTCAACCAGAGTTAAAATTTTATTAAACAAAAAGGCAATACGTATTGTTTTAATGATTTTCTGTATGTAGTGTCATTGGAAACCAGTTTTCCTTGGAAAGTCCTACTAAGTCATCTCTCAAAAAAATAGTCCCATTTGCTTTCCTGTACTCTTATAAAGTCATTCTACTCAGTCAAGTTTCTTAAAAAAACCATTGAGTAATTACTAAATAAATAAAAAAGAAATAGTTATAATGATTAATCCTGCAATGCTGAAAATTGTCAAAATTAAATTACTGGTTCCTAAAAATTTTCATACTGTTAACATTAGCAGTCATGTTAATAATATTTTTTTTTATAATTTATTATACTCGTATCTGTTATCTAATTATATTTTTTAATAGATCACAAAGAATAAATATATGCTATGTGTCATATTTACTTACAATTTTCATGTTTTTTTAGTAATTTTATCCCTTAAAAACGCAGAGGTAAAAATTATTTAGTGCATATTATTTCTGAATTACGAACCTAGCATGTTTTAAAGAAAAAGCGTTGCTGTATACTTTATAGAGTTGCCCTTTTCAGTATAATGATTAGTGGAGTCAGCTATCATATCATTAGATCCTGGTTAATATCCCCTCCCCCCAAAAAATGTGGATATATGTAGTTGTCTGTTCTCCTTCTTGCTGGTGTATAGCCCTATGATGATCCTGAGAAACATTCTTGGTGAAGAGACAGCTGGGTGATTGTTGGCTTAGCCATTGACAGAATATTCATAACAAGCAAGTGCTCTGCTAGTGGCTTAACTATTTCAAAGATATTAACTTCAGTATTATTCCCTATATTTACTCAGTAAATTTTTGTACCCGCTCTTATATTTTATGTCATTGACATAAATTAAAATTTTGAAATCATTTGTTGAAAACGTGAGGAGTAAAAATATGCAAGATGTGACTTTTTATGTTAGCTCATAAAAATCAACACATTCACTTATATATATAACTTTTTTTCTAATTTCTTTTAGGCTCAATCTATGACAACTACCAGCTGAACTGATCTATGAAGCATGTTCAATTCTTATTCATCTTGGGATTTCTTCCAGTTGGAACAGCCTTACTCAGCAAGAATGCTGATAACATGAAAGTTGATAGTCAGAAGGTCCTGAAGATAGGGATCTCTCCTGTCAGTCTCGTAGCAAATTTCTTCTGAAAGCACTTCTGTAATCTAAGCATTGGAGAACAGTCCAGGGGAGGAGAGCTGCTGTACCCCACGATTTCTTCAAAGAATGGGGTCCATGATCAGCAGCTTCTTCCAGACAGGAGGTCACCTGCTGTCATCTGGGACATCAGAGCAAACAAGGAACACTGTACTTGCTCTGCTTCAAGATATGAGAGAGAAGGAATTGACACACATTGAATGGTGTTCCATCGAGAATTACATCAGTAATATTCCAAAGGTTGGTTGCATTTTGGGTTTAAATATAGTGGATTGTTGTTTTAGCTGAAGTGACTAGTTTAGTACTGGCTACTTTAATAAAAGTCTCTTTATATGCATATAAAGTGTATTAGCATTAAAAAGAAAATAAATAAAAACTCATGGGATTGATTCAAATCATGGCTTTTATGGGTGGAACTTAAATTTATAAAAGACTGCAACTGAAGTTACACATTTTTTGAAGAAAAAGAAAATGAGTAACTCTCAAAATATATATAGAACAACAGTTTTCCATTTCACCATGAGATAAAGAACAAGTGAAAGACTAATAGGAGGTTGTATCAAGCTGAGATAACCAGTTGCAAGGCTGAATATTGACAATTTGTCTCCATTTTTTCAAACTAATATCAGGTTTTAGAACAATAATCAGAAACTGCCTAAGAAAATATCAATATATTGTCTCCAACTGCTCATTGCAGTACAACAACCTGATAGCTTCCTTTAGAGCTTTCCTCTTCTTTCTGCATTTTGATGTTAAGATATTTTATGGAAAACTCAGTAAGATAACAGATATTCTGCATCCATTTCATCTCTTCTCGCAGAAGTGTCAGTCTGAAGTGGTGCGAGCAACATGACATAAAGAATCAGTGGGTTTGTATTCCTCCATAACAAATCTTTGTGCATTTCAAACTCTAGTTCTTGATATATTCATTTGAAGTTGGCCAAGGATCTTAAAATCTTTCAAATCATTGTAGAAATCAACCAGTATGTTGGTGTATTAATGGTATGTAATGACCTTGATGAATTCCCATTTTGGAATTCTGTTTCTTCATTGATTAGCTTAGACATCCTGTGTAGTGGCTCAGGTCTAGATATCTAGTTAGCCATTCCAGCTTTTGAATGGTCTTTTTTGAGATATTCACCAACCAACCTAAACTTGTATGGATAGGCATTTATGAAAGTGGAATAGGAAGGGAAGTTTATTAAAGATTTTGTTCTCTTGTCACGACAGTGGTCCTGGAAATGGAGTAATATGTATGTATTTATTTATATTGGTACCTTTCAAGACCTAGTGTTCTCTGTCTATAGTATTATGCTTAGTTAGGATATGTTGTAATACTTGTGGTGAGTGTACTATATGTGGTGCTTTTCTCCAGTTGTGAATTAGAACCAGATTTTAAACTGAATCTTAACTTTTTAAGAAAAGTCATCTTTGTACTATCTAAGTAAAGCTAAATATCTTAATTCTAATGTATTTAATATGTAGTAGTAATAATACCTTAGAAATAAGCATAGTGATTTATTATTGTGTTGCTGTTAATGTGTTTAAATAGGTAATTGAATTTACTGTATTAATATATCAATTACGTATAAGATTTTACTTCTAAAATTAAATTATAAATAGAACTGGAAAATTTGGATCTTTTCCTCTGAGGATGACGCATGTCATACAATTTTCTGTAGAAAGATGTGTAATGCCAACTTGATACTTTCAGCAAGAAAACATACTCTCATCATGAATTCATTTTGACTGTGCTAAATTTCTTCTAAATTTAAGAAATCTTTTAGATAAGGTATTTTAATAAAGCAAAGAGCAAACTGAATGACTTGCTTAAAATTTTTTATTGATAATATATATTTTGAAAACAAGAACACTCTTCTGATTAGAAACAATATATTTAATTTAATGAGGGCCTATAGACAGCTAAGATGTCCATATCTTTCCACAGATAATAGTTTAGCACATGTTGTCTTTTATGGAAAGGATTTGAAGTTTCTTCATTATGTGAATTTTTTGCTCAGTTTGAATATGAATTAAAATATGTATTATTAGTCTATAAAATGAATGTAATTTTCTAACATTTTTACTTTCAGGGAGAAAATATTCTTTCTGTCGCAAGTGCGGATGGGTACAATTTGCTGCAGAGAGCCATAGGCTTTAACTGTGTTGAGCTCGTAAAATGGATTTTAAACCGAGGATGTGACGTCAACAGAGGAGCTTGTAGCTTACCTTTGCATATTGCCGCTTTCCATGGAACAGAAGAAATAGTAGAACTTCTGTTGAAGCACGGTGCCCGTGTGGATCTAGAAGCTAGAATGTGTTTTCCCGGCCCACATAACCAGAACTGCGAGTTGAGGTTTTATGTGGTTCCTGGAATGGGGATGGCAGACCGCACCCCCGACAGATTGCAGTCTGCGGAATATTATGCCATAGATGGTGATCAGTCTGAAATATTAGAACTGCTTTTAGCCCAAGGGGAAGATAATTGGCTACCCTGGCAACAAAAACGTCCACTGCTGCATCTTGCTTGTGAAAGAGGTGCATGGAATTGTGTGCGTTACCTCGTGTCTGAACGATCTGATGAAATCAACCAATGTTATGATGAGTATTACCCTATACATCAAGCTGCCATACAAGATTTGAAATTCCTTGGTCTTCTTATTCAGTGTGGAGCTGATGTTCAGGTCAGGACAGCCACGCAGCAGATGACAGTTCTTCATGTGGTTTTACTATCAGGAAGAAAATCAGCTGACGAGACTCTAAATACCATAAAGATGTTGTTAGATCATGGCTGTCGTGATTTAATAAATGAACCGGACACTCTTGGCAACACACCATTGCATGCTTTGATTGTTCGATATGCTTTGGAAGAGTCGCGATATGGTTACAATCAGGAACCAAAGCCTTGGAATAAATGGGATATGCTGCATATGGTTAGATATTTACTTCAAAATGGTGCTAGTCCAAGCATTAACCATCAGGGAAATAGTGCACTGGCATGTGTATTGCGCCATATCCGAGACTGGGAATTTCGATATGAGCTGTTGGAGATGCTTCTGCAAAACGGTGGCAATCCAAATTGTGTCGGCAGAGATGGGTCCGTGCCTCTTATGGTGTGTCTGGTACCACTTATCAATAAAGACCCACTACATTATCTGACTCACACTAAGAAAGTGTTTTATTTGAACTCTGTACGATTACTGTGCAAGTATGGTGCTAATCCGAACTGTTCCTCTCGAAGCAACCTCACACCACTTCATGTCCTGGTGTTCACTGCCAGTGAGTATATTATTTTGAATCGAGAGGAGGAAAAAAACAATGCCTTTGCCTTTATTCGTCAGCTGCTAGTCATTCTTCTTCAGCATGGACTCGATCCAAATGTCAAATTCTCGCAGAGGACACAGCATATTTTGTTAGCTTTGATGGATATGGTGCAGAATGCCCGTGTCCCAAGTGACCTTCATTATGTTTATGATTTGACTTTAGTGTTACTTCAATATGGGGCAAATCCTAATACCAGTATTACGACAACAGAAACAATGATTTGTCATTCTCAGAGTTCTGTTTTTATTAAGAAACCTTCAAATTGGGTGAGTAAATGTAATATTTTTTCGTTGTTTTTATATCTCATGTTCAATATAGCATCAAAATCAAATAATTCAACTAGAACTGTGAACAAAGAAATATGCTGCGATTATAGAATTTAGGTATCTTGTGACAATTACTTGATTTACTCACCTTCAGTTCAATTTGGATCAAAACAGTCCAAGGAATAATGATATGTATCTGAAGTAACTGTTTTTAGAAATTGTAAATATTTAAAATGTTGAAAAGAGTATGAATAATGTGTACTTGTTGTTATAGTCCCTGTCATTTAAAAAAACACCAAAATTGTCGATAAATCACATATTGGCATTATTTCAGAACAAAGAAAATACAACAAAAATATTATGATAGTGCATAACCTACTCAGAGTTATTACTAGACAGGCTGATGATCATTTGGCAATATTTGTGACATATTTAATCTTTATTAATAGTCTTAGCATTGTTTAAATAATTGGTACCAGAGTGTGCCAAATAATATTGTTTAACTTTTTGTGTCTATGCGTTTTGGATTTTGAAAGAATATCATTCAAATAATAAGTATCCATCAATTAACACAACTTCAAAAATTTTTGCTAAAAAATAGTAATACTTTGAAATTTATAAGATATTAAAGAAAAATGCTTTCATTTTTCTTACATACATGTCTACATGAGCACCATTAAGTGAACGTACAACACCAAGTCGGTACTTAATTTCTAATAATATTTTATGACTGGAATTGATGATGGTTCTTCTTTAACCTTTTGATGATCTTCACTGAGTACAGCTCATATTCCATTTATGCACTGTAGTGGGTGCAAGCACAGCTCACATTACAAATTTATGACTGACAGATATCGCATGTATTTGGGAAGGAAGAATTGCTTAATCTCGCAGCCACGGAAGGATAAATCATGATCTAAGGCAACCATCTCTAAAAGTGATCTGCATTTCTGAAAGCATAAATCAGCATTCATATTCTTTTTAAAAACTTTCTAAGAGTCGTCTGCCTTTTTTACAAAATTTTTGGTCCTTAAAATTCTGTAATTTGGGACAAAATTTGCAAACTATCCAGAATTTTGCTCATATTACATCCATTCTTTTCCTGCGATTGCCATTCAGAGTGAAATTTATATTTTGGGTGAATGTAGAATTCAAACTTCGCAGCTCAAAATAAAGCCATTGCAGATTGATGTTGTAAATAATAAACAACTACACAGAATGAAAATTTTAGGGTGCTTGATTGGTTATTTTCCATCTTTTCAAAACATGTGTAAAAAAAATACTTTTTGTTGAAAAAAAGTTTCTTGGATCTTATGGCCATGCTTTAGCTTACTGTGATGAAAATGTGACAGTTGAGAGTCTTAACTTAAAAAGTTTTTCCCCTTCTACCCACTGTTATTAATGAATTCAGAAATTCTTCAAGGGTATAGATGAAAGATGAGAGGAGGATTATTTTGAAAGGAAAAGGCTGTCAATATTAGAATAGTCTGAAGCTGGAGAGACCCACATATTCCACTGAGTTCAACTGCCAGCTCCAGAACTACTAGAAACAATGGAGAGCATCTGTAGCAAACATCTGGAGAAGTGACCACTGAAGTTAAATATAAAAAAAAGGAAAAAAAAAAAAAGTCATTGAAAAAATGTAGTTATTGAGGTAGCTTTTATGCTGGACTGTGAGATTTATAAACCCACAATTATTGCATGTCATTGATTTCCTTCTACTACATTAAAAATATTTTCAGAAATATGTCACATATTTGTTCGGTAATTCCTGTTTGGTGCTGTTTTAAAGTTGATGTTTTATTTATTATAATCTTGGACTTTTAAACTGCTGTCACGTAATTTTAAACCTTCACTGCAGAGTAATTCCTTAAATTAGATTGCAGGGTGCAGTCCATGTTTGATCTCAAGAACTGTGTCGTAAAGGCAAGCTATCATTAACTGTACCCTCACATATAAGTATCTGCATCGTAATTGAATTTAATGAACAAAACCTTCATGGCACTTCTATACTAGTAGAAAAGTAAGGACTTTTATGGCAGAGCTGTAGCATAAAGTTGCTGGTATTGTTATTAGGGTTACATTCTTCAAATTTAAAACTGATTTTCATGAGGGTCCCTTATAAAAATTTGTCTTTAAGAACAATTAGATGACTTAAAGTGCTACACATGGGCAACAGGCATCATAAAGAAGCAGTCCTGTTCTGACAAGCAGAGGTTATCCAGCAATGATATACCATATATTCTGGCATATAACGCACACCTATAATTTAAAAACCACATTTTTAAAGCCTTACGTATATTTGCTGTATAATGCATGCCCGTTTCTGCACTGAAAAACCTGAAAGATATGCGTGGGTTGCTCTTATCTTTTGAAGTCATTCTTTCGAAAATTTTTCAGAACAATGGTATACTGAATTGAAAATCAATAAGGGAAACAATATGTTGGGGAGGAATACTTGACGAAGTCAAATAATTCTGCAGAGAGGATGGGTTTCATTCAGTGCAAGTGTGTACAAGTTTTTTTAAAATTTTTATTATTATTATTTCTAGCAGTAGCACTTTATATGCATCATTCGCCAGAGTGAAAATACTCAACACAAACACACAAGGAGAAACAACTAACCAAAAACATACAAAAAGAAAGGAGAAACATCACACAGTGAACTGGAAGTTGATCTGTCAGCACTATCCTTATCTTCAGGGCAGATGTTTTTTATTTTATTCAGCTTATAATTCCTTACTAAATGTAGTATTTCATCTCGATATATTTCGTCTTTGATATGATTTAAATCAAATTCCTCGTCATTATAAATATCACGAGTACACATCAAATAGTTTTCTGGTTGCAATTTTCTAATTTTGACTATGCGCAATGTATGCTTTAAGCATGCGCGCGTTGAAAGAAATGTTTAATAAAGTAAACAAATAAATATTAAGCTTTTTTTTTTGTAAATTTTGATACCCTTTAGATCATAATTGCTCTTTATTTCATATTTTTAATTTTATAATTTCTGCATGCCATCTTATCAGATTTAAACTGATGATCTATAATCCGGAATCGTCAAAGTCCCAACGAGTCTGGATTAAAGACTTTTTGACTGTACAGTGTTTCAAATCAGTTTGTGAAAGAAAATGGAAATCATGCTCCAGTAAGGATGTTTGGTGGTTGGGGAAGGCTGTATATGTGAGTGGAAGAAAAAATGAAATCAAAATAAATAATATGCCAAAGAATAAGTATTCTTTGTGCAAAAAAGTAACAAAAGGGACTATCTTAGCAAAAAGCGTTAGAAAATAGACAGAATGGATTAATAGTAACAAGAAATAGGAAATGTTTTATTCACCTTAAAGTGGTCAAAAAAGAGGAATGCAAATAAAAGTGAAAACTTTAAAAGAACTTTCAGTTTATGTAGTCTATTTATGGCACAGAATAATTTAGTTTTACAAGAAAAAGAAAAAGTTTCGCAAAGGCTTCTGAAAGATTTGGACAACAAATTGATAAATTTCCAGAAGTATGTTATTGAATTATGAAGGCAAAAATATTATTTACTGTCAGGTGTTGGAAATATGGATGAAACTCCAGTAATTTTCCATATGATAAGGAAAAAAATTATTGATGGGAAAGGAACAAAAACAATTCTTATAAAAACAAGAGGTCACAAAAAAAAAAATCTCACCTCACCATAGTGCTTTCTTGTTTAACATCCAGTTCGAAATTAAAATCCATGCTTATTTCTAAAAGAAAGACTATGCTGAAGTACAATTTCGCAAAGGGTGTTTTCATTGGTGTTCACAAGATAAGATGGGTGGATAAGAAACGTAAGGTCGTCCCCACCATTTGTTTTTTTTTTTTTTTTTTTTTTTTTTTTCAGAGACATGGCTTGATGCTGGATTCATTAATCTTACTAATGGTATAAAAAATCAATGAGAAAATAGTAAGTCAGCACCAGCTTTGTCTAAAACAGCAGTTGTCAACCTTTAGAACTTCACAGACCACTACATATATAATTTTACATTTGGCGGATCACTGATGTGAAGTTAAAAAAAAAAAGATAAATGCACATTTATACAATAATGATTAGCAAACTACACATATTTTGTTCACAGCTTCACATTTCCATATCACTGGAAAAGAACTTGACGAAAAGCAAACCGGCAAACGCAAAGCAGTATCAGTAAACTGATAGTGTTATGCCGCCAATTTTTAATTATTGTTAACATTATAATCATCGCTCATTCAGCAATGGCACCAATGATCAACAATTAGACAAAACAAAAACAGAAACTTTCAGAGTTAGAATTATAAACAGGAATGCAGATGGTTCTCATAAAAATCCATCAAGTTGCCTAATGACACGGAGAAAAACTGTGTTATTAATGACTATAATAGCATATGTTTGTAATTCAAAAGGAAAGAGAATTCCAGTTCACGCTAATACTGATAACAGCTGCATATCCATGGATGCCAACTCTCACTTTCAAATGTCACTAAAAGTAGTAGCTAAATTTAAAAAAAAAAAATGTATAATCCATATTCCATAATAGATTTTGTTAGTCATAATTTTTTAAACTGAACCATCTTAAAAACGTAAATAATATCCCAGTTTTTCTGCGGACCAGCAAAAAGTTATCACGGACCACTGGCGAGCTGGTCTAAATCATCTACTGGGTCATTTCCAATAATGCCACAGTGGTTGGTAAAAAGAAAAGAAATATGTTACTTTCCAGAATAAAGTAAAGATCTATCTGGCAGTCATAAGCAAGTTTTTTTATTGCCAAGAAACACAGAAGTATGAGTAACCTTAAAGTCAGATTTAACGATAAAAATTTACTTCCATTTCTCTTGTTTAGCTAAAGAAACAGCATTCAGATCACCATAAGAGTTATTGCATGATCTACCAACAGCTCTGCTGAGAATAAAATGTTTCAAGTGTACCTGAACTCCCTTGTTTTTGTGTTTGAAAATATGTACAATTTGATAAAAGATCAGTTGTTAAATTGTATATTATGATAGATATCTGCCCTTTGTTACAAATATCACAAACGTACAAGGCACTGAAATATGCATAATTTTTTTAAAAATAGAAACTGATTACTTCCACTGGCATTTAAACAGATAATGTATAGTTACTTTGAATAGTTATGTTTCATACTATTAGAAGTAAAATATTTTATAAGGAAATAAACCTGTATTCCCCCGGTAATTAAATAAAGAAGAAATTGTGTGATTTCAAGTAATTGTGTTACAAACGTAAAAAAAAAAAAAGATAAATAAAAATAATAAATCAGTATTAATTCTATTTGCATCACGTGGTCATTTTCAAATTATACATGCATGCATGGGAAGTAAAAATTTTATTGCATATGTCTAAACATACACGTAATATGCCAAAAATGGATGCATTACCTTTAATAGTTGTGTAAGGAATTGTCACACTCCCCAGTGTATGCTGTGTTGGTGTTACAGCACTCAGCTAACAGTTGGAGCTGTGGCTGAAATCTCAGTAAGAGTGCAATTATTTCTTCATTTTCTCACTCTGAAATTGCTAAGAGTCTCCAGTAATGCTCAAACAACATGGTAGATAATAATTTGCCACATCATGGATTTACTCAGCAGGGTCTCATAATCTTTTGCTAGTTTCTTTTCAAGTGGAGGAGAATGTAAGGAATTGTTGCATTTTTTCATGTGTACTGCCATGATACACATCCAGCTGGAAGATCAGTGATTCAAATCCTGTCGAAAACACTGTTAATTTTTCATTCTTTGGTCTAAAGATCCAAATACTCTGCATTTATTATAATAATTGGACGTTGTGGATTTCTGACTTAAATTTACTACAAGTAACTATGTCTGTTACCGATATTTCCTGTTTTGGTTAAGTTTCCATGCAGAATTTTATTTAAAGTATGTTTGTTTTTTGTTTTTCAGGTGCTGTATCATTACATCCAACATATTATTCGCAAAGAGGAACTGTTAAATGACGAGGAGCAGACTTTCACAAAATTAATCTGGCTATATTATTATGCAATGAACCATAGAGAACTATATAGGTGTTTTAAGGTACTCAATACACAGACTTCGTTGATCCCTACCATCAGTGCTGTCGCAAGCCTTCTCAGATACATGCGTACCCACCCACGGTCCCTGAAGCAAATCACCCGAGTGGCCATCTATAAGGCGATGAACTATAATGTAGCTCCAAATATAAATAAATTACCCTTACCTCTCCCTTTGAAAGAATACATGTTAGACTGGATGCCTTGAAGGAGAACTGATTGTATGTATGCAAGTGTTATGTCATCGAGCTTAAAGCAACAACAGAATACCTGCATCTCTTCACCAAGAAGGAGATTGTAGATTGTTGGTATATTCCTAAGTGTTATTTACAAGATCAGAAGCTAAGAATTGCTGCGCTTTTACTGTATTATTATATCCCCCCTTGTCTGCAGTTGCTTTTCATAAGAGTTTCCTCGTCCCAGTCTTATGTTGCCTGGTTTCAGTAAAACTTTAGAATGTGGTACCACGTGGCACACATTCTGCCTTACAATGCCAAATGAGAAAATGAATCGTAAATGTTATGGCAATAAAAAAATTATTGGTGCCAAGTTTAATTCATATTAATTACATCGATTTAATGTTGCCTATGCAGTAATGTGGTTCTTCAATTTCTGGTACCTGCAGATTCTTAATATGTAGCTTGTAACCTGCTAGTAGGTCACAGACTGCATCTTATATAGGTTGCAGGATGTATCAGTAGGTTACAGCTGTCTTATTGTAAGACAGATTGTTAATCTATTATCAAGTTTGAATATTGTGTAAGAATATTAAACACTCAAACTTTTAATGAAATGTAGATAATTGAGTTGAAAGCTTAAAGACAATCAGCATAATGGTATCTGTTTTAGGAAATAAATTTTAAAATTGACAAAGTCTAATTTTCCCTCAAAAATATTATTATTGTACATATAATATCATTGTTATAAATAGTTAGAGTTGGAGCAGTTTGTAAAATAATAAATCTTATAAAATTTACAAAACAAAATGTTTTGTAGTTTTTTTTTCTTTTCTGGATATGGAATTATGAAAACCTCCCATTATGGTAACATAATATTCCTTACCTTTTCCTTTGTTGTAATGGATCTGTGATATTTCTTCAGGATATGTCTCCCTCCCATAAGTAGAACTGGAATTACGGAATGTTCCTTCCTTACCTGATTATATCTCAGAATTATCTTCCTCCAAGAGCAATTCAAAAAGACTGCACAGTTAAATTAAGTAGAATTCTGATAACTGACATACCATGAGATCAGGAGTTGTAGGTATTAGAGAATTTTTCAGATCATAGATCATGTGTTTTTTAGTTTTTCTTTATATTTATTTCTCCCACTCTAATTTTTACACTGAATTTGGATTTTGCTCAATTAACTATGAAAACATACCCATATCTTAAAATTACTTAAGATTTAAAAGAATACAAAACTAATTATATTTTTAATATAATTTTTTTGCATTGAAGATACTAGGATAGAGGGAAACATTATGGGAAGTGATAAATGAAAAGAAAGTATTTTGAGGGAATAGAGAACTCTTCAAAAATCTCATTACATTGTATTATGTAAAAATAATATTGTATATTAGCAGTGAAACTTCTTTCAAAATAATTTTTATGTTTCTAAATGAGAAAAAAATAAATATGCTGTTGCCAAAATTCCTGCAGTATGATTTTCTTTAATTGAATCACTGCATTAATTCCTCCATTTTGCTTCTATGCATGTGCAGTTGGTTTACTAAAGTTAATAGTAGTTAGCAAAAAGTACTAGAATCAAAATTTGGGATTATCAATGTTCTTAGCACATTTTTGATTGAAAAAATGTCTCTGAAAATGTATTTTTAATAATCTGCCCTTTTTTTTAAGTTGATATAAACAAATCAGTTATGAGGTGCATTTAAGTTAGAACTTCTCAAATAAATTCCTTGTATATGCTAACCATATAAATTGAAAATTAATTTTAAAAATATACCCCCCCCCCAGATTCATGTTTACTATTAAACAAGTACTTGGATGTGCATGTAGAAAATGCTAAATGACTTAATCATAAAGTAAATTTACTTCTTTAATCAAATATATTATAAATATGAGAATAAATTTTCATTACATTTATCATAATGAATTTGCAAAAAATTCAAATATTTGTTTACACCTAGAAAATATTGCAAATTACAGATACAGTCAAAAGTCGTTAATTCGGACACCCATAATCCGGAATGATCTATAATCTGGACCTCAGAGCTAAAATCTTTTTGCGCATGCGCCGCGTTGACGCATGCTCAAAGGCGTTTTACGCGTGCGCGCAAGACATTTACGACTGCGCATATGCGTCTGCGCAAGCGCAGAATACGTTTTCGCCTGCGCATTTAATGTATAACGAATGGTATAAGATAAATTATCTAATTATCTATTTCAGTTAATGTTGATGATTGCGTTGTTCCTTAATCTTCGAATTGGATCTGGCTTATTATTTTTTGCAGACTGTAAGAGCAATTTTATAAAAGTAAGCTTGAACTTTCGATTATGTCAAATAGAATTTCCGATGCTGGAGCTCCCAAAGGATCTAGAAAACGAAAGTATGTTTCGATGTCCATCAAACAAAAAACGAATTGCTACATAAAGGTATATCCTTTGTTTATCTAACCATTCCAAAATCGGTTTATCAATTTCACTCTGCTCTGCGCGGAGGGGGGGGACGTTACGGCATGCAATGAACTGGAAGTTGATCTGTCAGCACTATCGTTATCTTCAGGGCAGATGTTTTTATTTTATTTGGCTTATAATTCCTTACTAAATGTAGTATTTAATCTCGATGTACTCCGTCTTTGATATGATTTAAATCAAATTCCTCGTTATTATAAATATGATGAATGCAAATCAAATAGTTTTCTGGTTGCAATTTTCTAATTTCGGCTATGCGTAAGGTACGCATGCGCGCGTTGAAAGAAATGTTTAATAAAGTAAACAAATAAATATTAAGCTTCTTTTTTTGTAAATTTTGATACCCTTTAGATCATAATTGCTCATTATTTTATAAATTACGGTTTCATATTTTTAATTTTATAATTTCTGCATGCCATCTTACCAGATTTAAACTGATGATCTATAATCCGGGAAAATCGATAATCCGGAATCGCCGAAGTCCCGACGAGTCCGGATTAAAGACTTTTGACTGTATTATTTGATTATCAGAATTCTGCTGTGTTTCTTCACTTCTCAGAAGACAAAAAGTTGACCATAGTCTGAAATCCAGCATACTTAATTACTATACATTTCTAGATTTTCAAAGAGGTAATATTTTCCTGCAGAAATTTAGCTAAAATTGAAAAACCCTCATACAAACTGGATTTAAAATTGTCCTATAAATTCTGTTGTATAGATACCACTAATAATTAATTGGTTAACTAACTTAACTACATCTATCAGATGGCCTAAAGGTGCATGCCAATCTACTTTCCATTTGAAAAGGGGTAAGAGCAGAAAGAAAGAGCACTGTTGGTTTCTCTTTCTAAATTCTCCCACCCATGGGGTATGCATATCATTTGGTGCTTTTGCTGTAGTATGGCAAATTTAATGATGGATATTGTTTGTGTTAACCATTTTTAAGCAGTCAATTTTTTCCCCCTCACAAGTAAAATAAAATCTTTCATTTCTCCTATGTAGTAAAAGATGCCCAAGCAAAAGAAAAAAAAGGGGGGTTACGAATTCTAACTTTAAAAGTTATGACTTTTTTTCTGAATATTTTGGGTAAAACTGATTATTATACTTTCTTCAAGGTAGATGGTTATGTTGCTAATGATGAAATGAAGAATAACTTTTCACACAGAGAACTGCTGTAAAATTCTGAGTCAAATGCCAATATTAAAAAAATTAGTTTGTTAGAAAAATATTAAAAGCTTTTATGAAATAAAAATATCTGTTCATTTATTTAATACATAATTTTTGTAATTCATTTTTGTAATAAGCCAACCTTTCAAACATCAACTATTAAAAAAAAGTTTGCTAAAAATTCTCAACGTATATACTAAAATGTTTTTAAATTGTAATGATAGTCATTAGCCAGCCATTTAAAAAATATTTATCTGTGCAAATATTTTTTAAACAAAATGTTACTCAAATATCCTATTAAAACAAATGTTTCTGGAATAGATTTTTATATATGAAAATTTAGATTTAAGAAAATCAAAAATTTTACTTTTCATATTTGGCATCAAGTTAATAAAACCCTGGTGATATTTTTCTGTGGTACCATTTTCTAAAGCTTAATCACAGCTTTGTTTATCAATGAAATTATACTTGTTATAAATATCTAATTTTAGCTTAAAAAATTGCTTTTTGCTGTTAATGCTTATTACTGCAGTCAACTCGGTAATAATACTTTCATCTGTTCTTTCTATAATGCAGTATGTGATAAGTGTTCACTTTTACGAATATTACAAAAAAAAAAAAAAAAAAAAAAAAAAATCAACTGACATATTTAGTAAAGAATTTAGGTATAAATTCGGCATAAATAAATGTTTGTAATTTGTAACCTATTTTCCGATGTCTGTCATTGCACATATAACTAAAAATTATGTGCAAGTTAGTTTCAACTTTTTCCCTTTCATGACATGCATGAAATTTTTCATAGATAGCTTGCCAAATTGGAGTGATTATTAAGTTTAACAGATAGTTTGATTTAATTAATTTCTTGGTTAAAGTTTACAATAGGATGCCATTGATATTTTTGGCAATTTTTTAATGCCAAAATGCAATGTTTCAGAGATGTCTGTTCCTCAAAACAACACCAAAAACAATAAAAGTACTTGTGTGTTCTTGGCTATGTCTCCATCATCAACGTCGGGTGATTGCTGCACATACAGAATGCAAATCATGTCCTGGAATTGATCATCCTCCTCCTTATCCCCGTGTTGGCAATGCCAAGTAGGAATACAAAATATCATCCGGTGACTGACGAAGACTCGCACTTAACGTGGTTCCACATGCCCTCCAGTGGTGTTGGTATGCATGCCAGTTTTTAGCGCCCAAATCAACTCATAGCCATCAGATTAATCCTTAAGTGTGGACATCCATGGTGAGAACTAATTAAACCTTTATTCCTACACCAATCAGTTATAGCTTTCTTATCCTTTTTGCTGTAAATCATAAAAAAATGACTATCTTACCAAACATATTTCTTTATGGAAGTGATGAGACAGAGATTAATTAGAACCAGCCAGCTAACAAAATTATCAGTTAACAATTATTAAGCTATCAACTAATGGCAATTAAAATTCCAATAATTCAAAATAAGTGATTTGTAGCATGTGATACATGTAATACAAATCACATAGCCCTCAGTCACAAAAATTAAAAGTTGAAATCTGATTAAACTTTAGAAAAACTTTGGCATGCAACAAAAAAATGGCTACCATAACAGCAAGAAAACTGTTGATTCCAGGTTACCAGAAAATCGGAAACAGTGTTGGTATTTGGCGCCAAATTAATCCATATGATCATTCTGCTTTTTTGCACTAGAACTAATTTCTTAATGGTGTTTTAAAGATTATTAAATAACAAATTTGTAGGAATCTTGTGTGTTGGTTTTCTGAAATGACAGCAAAAATTAATTTGTAATTATTATTATTATTATTATTTTTAAAACTTAACAGGGTCAGGTTTTGAACATGGTATACTAATATCACCATGATTTTGCATACAATATATAAAGGTTATTTGTTTCCATTATAAAATATTACTTCTAGAGAATAAAACAATTAAAAAAAGAAACAAGTTTTGTAAAAATTGGAAATTGCTATTTGTGGACTGATTGTGATGAGGTGTTCCCATCCTTTACTGTTCACATAATTTATCTTTAAAAGGCAATTCTGTGTTTTTGTATAAATTATATAAACCTTTGTTATGAATACATTGCAAATTTTGACACATTATGTCTAAACCCAAGTGACAGGATTTCTAAAAATTTCATTACCAAAATTAGTCATACTTTGGTAAAGTGAGGTAAGCCATATTTGTTGGCTGAGCAATGGTTTTTTTGCTTTACACATTCATCATACTGAATTTAATTTTTGTTTGTTAATGTTGTATCTAATGAAATAATTTCTCTGGATAAGAGTGTCATATGAAATTAAAACTCAATTGTTGTGTGCTTTGACAATATAGAAAATGTAATATTCTGTGGCAGATAGCCTTTATATACTTTACTTGAGTTAAGTAATCCAAGGAGAAAATTAATTCACAAAATTTTACGTAATTACAGATTTTTTTAAAAAAAGTGGATAAATTTTGAATCTCCGAATACTAGTCCCTCTCTTCTTCAGAAGTAAATACTTGCTCTTGAATGTCAAAGAGAGTACTTTCCCATCAATAGAATCCCTTTAGGATGTTACTAAAAAGTATGAAATAGACCTTGAAAATGTCATTCTTTAAGTACATTAATGCATGTTCATGAATATTATTTATTATGTATGTTATAAATTACGTATATATATTCAAATAACTAATTTCTTCTGCTTACAACCACAATTTGATAACTGATAATATTTTATCATCAGAAATATGAATTAAAAAAGCATTTATCTAAAGACTGACAGTTTCATAAAAAAAGTAAATTTTTCTTTTGCAAAATCGACAACAATTGTCAGGCCTGTGTGTTTCTTAACACATTAAATGCCATGTTAGTCCTTAGGGACTAGCTTTAGACCAAGCAAAATAGGCTTGGCATTTATTGTGTTAATAGTGCAAATGTTTAAAAGAAAAAAAAATAATTATAAGCAAAGTTATGTCAAA